GTGATGTCTCTGCTTTTTAAGATGCTGTCAAGGTTTGTCATCGCTTTCCTCCCAAGAAGCAAGCGTCTTTTAATTTCGTGGCTGCTGTCTCCATCTGCAGTGATTATGGAGCCCAAGAAAGTAAAATCTGTCACTGCCTCCATATCTTCCCCTTCTATTTCCCAGGAGGTGATGGGACCAGTGGCCATGATCCTAGTTTTTTTGATGTTGAGCTTCAGACCATTTTTTGCACTCTCCTCTTTCACCCTCATTACAAGGTTCTTTAGTTCCTCCTCACTTTCTGCCATCAGAGTGGTATCATCTGCATATCGGAGGTTGTTGATATTTCTTCCGGCAATCTTAATTCCGGCTTGGGATTCCTCCAGTCCAGCCCTCCGCATGATGTATTCTGCATATAAATTAAATAAGCCAGGGGACAATATACAGCCTTGTCCTACTCCTTTTCCAATTTTGAACCAATCAGTTGTTCCATATGCAGTTATAACTGTTGCTTCCTGTCCCACATATAGGTTTCTCAGGAGATAGATAAGGTGGTCAGGCACTCCCATTTCTTTAAGGACTTGCCATAGTTTGTTCTGGTCCACACAGTCAAAGACTTTTGCACAGTCAATGAAGCAGAATTAGAGGTTTTTCTGGAACTCTCTGGCTTTGATAGTAAAGCCCTTTCTTCAGCCAGTTTTCCAGTAATGTTTACCTACAATTAAAGATGCCTTTTTTATTGCATCCCTTTCAGCTGTGGGGCCAGGGTCTAAGTTGTGCAATTGTGTTCCCTCCACTGCCTAAAGACAACCTGGAGAGAAAAGGTACATGCCCTTTCTGGGATGTTTTCTGTGCTTCACACTTTATATTAGGGGTGGGCCATATTAGGGAGAGTGAAGCAGCTGTTTCAAGCCACACATTCTGGATATCATGAAAGTTTGGCATGTTGTACTGCCAAGGATAGGCAGGAGCGTTTGCTGGATTGTCTGCCACATCAACCCAAATAACTTGGTCAGCTTTAGATACCACACACATTGAGCTGAGGGGCTGGGTGGGTTAAGGGATACCATTTGTTGTTCTGCTGCCCTCAGTCAGCAAAATACCTTGGGCTAGGCATTTTGTACCAGATAGCTTTCTTCCTGGAGGGACTTCACGCAGTCCCTCCAGGAAGAAAGCTATCTGGGACAAATGACTACCCCCACCCCCCTGCCATGTTTTCCCTGTCACTGAATGCAATAAATAAAATAAATGCTTGTCTGGCAGTCTACTGTGCAAGTTCTCTCAGAACTGCAGGCCAATTTCCCCTCCCCCACGCTCAACTTCTGGTCGCCTCTGCAGAAATGCTTTCTCCCAGGAGCAACAGTTTTTCGCGCAGCGTTGCCTCTTCTAGCGTCGCGACAGGCATATGTACTCCCATCTCTCCATCCTTCCACAGCGGCTCTCTGAGGGACGAGGACGGGAAGGGCTGCTCCTTGGAGCCCGTGGGAAGAGTCTTGGCGTTAAAAAGAAAAAAACCAACCCAAATAACCATTTAGCAGCTCTTCCCTCCTCCCACTCGATCCTGGGACCAGCTGCTGGTTGACTAGCCGCCTTCAGCCTATCCGGGCTCCAACACCCCCCCACCCCACCCCGTTTCTCTTTTTAACTGTTTCTGCTGCTGCTGCTGCTGCTGCTTCTTCCACTTCGCTAGCCTGGTGCTCCAACTTTTGCCTTCCCTTTGCACACATGCGAACGGGCGCGCGGTTTTCTCTCGACTCGCCGTTCCCGTCCCCAGGGGCCGCCCGCGGGGCTCTTCCCTCAACCCCCTGCCTCCCGCGCTTTCGTTTACCTCGGCTCCAGGGAGAGCCGCGTTGCCTTTCCCTCTCTCCCTCACTTCACCTTCATTGCAAGCCCCACCGCTATGATCCTCCTGTATCT